CCCTCCCCTTCCCGTCACTCAGTCTTTCTTTTGAATGATCACACTGTTGTGGTTTAATGCCTCTGTCAACACACACAGGTGCTGGAGGCCGATGATAATGCTATTGAAAGTCTGGAAGGACTGTATCATCTGCCTAAACTAGAGGAAGTTTCTCTGAGGAACAACCGTATCCTTTTCTCCAAAAAATCCAAATGTTTTATAAGAAACTCCTTTTCTGGTGTCAGAGCCTGTGCCTGGTTTGACCATGTTTCAAGGATTCAGTATTCTTCATTAATAAACAGCTACAGATTATGGAGGGTCAACAAATCTGAAAAGGCAGCATAAGAAGTTACCGAAATCTGTTTCCCGTGTCTATTTCTTGAAGAATGGCTTTAATGTTCTCTGAAATCACTCTGATGATAATCTCCTCTGTTTCATACTCTAGAAAGCATTTTATTTCAAGGGTCTTTTCCAGAATAATATATAGTTGTGTTTGAAATACAGTACCCTTTTTTTGTAGCAAAGATGCATTAAAATGAGCAAAAGTGACCGTAAAGTAAATTTATAATGTTTCAAAAAGCCTCAATTTCAAAGAAATGCTGCTCTTTTGAACTTTATATCCATCAAAAAATCCTAAAAAAAACAATGTTTCCACAAAATATTGTATATTATTATATTGCTCATAATATAGTTGTTTTTTAAATAAATACTTTAAGCAGAGATGCATTAAATGTATCAAAAGTAACAGTAGAGATAAAGGATTTCTTTCGGATAAATTATTTTGACAATTACAAACTTCATTTTGAAGAATCCTAAAAAAATGCAAAAATATTGGGCAGCACAACTATTTTCAACATTGGTAATAATCAGAAATGTTTATTGAGCAGCAAATCAGCATATTAGAATGATTTCTGAAGGATCGTGTGACACTGAAGACTGGAGTAACGATGCTGAAAATTCAGCTTTAGCATCAGAGGAATAAATTACATTTCAAATAGAAAACAGCTATTGTAAATTGCATTTCACAGTATTAGTGTTTTTACTGTATGTTGACCAAATAAATGCAGATCAACCAAATTTTTATATTATTTTCTTAACGCATCTTTTAGAAATCTGTAAGCTGTCTGATCTTGAATCATTGGCATCCTGCACCAAACTGACCAGACTGGACCTGCGTGGAAACCCTGTCCACAAAACTGCCAACATAGAGTCTGAGCTGAACCAGCTCCTGCCACTGGTTACTGCTCTGTCCCTTTGATCTGCAGCATTAGCTGCTGTGTGTGTGTGTGTGTGTGTGTATGTAAAATGCAGTAGAGACTAATTAGAGCTCACTAACCATTTCTAAACTGTACCTCATGTACTGGACCTAAAGGGATAGTTCAGCCAAAAATAAAACGTCAGTCATTTATCTGTATTTTGGTAGGCTGAATGATATTTTGATGAATGTTCATGCTGCTCGTTTCCATGCAATAACAGTCCTAATGTAATGCAAACGAAATCAGAGGGGAATATTTTCAGTGCTGTTATTAGATGCGCTTAAATGGCAAAAAAAAAAAAAAAAACAGGTTTGGAAAGACTTTTTTTGAAAATTTTATTTTTGGCTCAACTGTGCCTTTAAAAACATTCAGCATCTTGTCTGTATGTTTATGTGTTTGTGTGATAAATGACGGTTCACATTTCAAATAAAGATTGACCTATACAAACTCCACACTGCATGCTGATAGAGAGAGAAATGTTTTGCCACATCTGCTTCTAGCTCTTGAAGTCCTGAGGGTCCTGTTTTGGGCAGAGATGTTGTTCTTCCAATGTATCAGTGAAGATGCAAATATTCGGCTATGAATTTCTTGTACTGTATGAATTAGACTTTTTTTTTTTTTTAGCTCTGCAAAAGTCAAGCATTTGTGGTGTGAAAGCTGCAGGTATGAGTCTCCATGTCAATAAAGAAACATGTTTCTTCCCTATGTCTCTGTCTAACTGGTTTCTATGGGGACCTTCTACTGTAATGTTAGTCTGTGGGGTCTTATTATATACAGTTGTGCTCATAAGTTTACCCTTGCAGAATATGCAAATATGTTAATAATTTTAACAAAATAAGAGCTCATGAAAATTGCAAAAAAAAGTGTCATTCCATTTAACTTAATTTTTTTACTTATTTGTTTTGTTTTATTTGGATTACTTGGGTTGTTACCGACATCTGGTGAAAATTTCACGTCAACAGCACCTTTAGAAACATTTACTGGGGAAAATGGTGACGTGTTCAATACTTTTTTTTACCCACTGTACTGTACTCCACAAGACAATAATAACTGAATTTATAAAAATGACCCCATTCAAAAGTTTACGTACCCTTGAATCTTAGATGGTTCAAACGCTCACTGATGCTCAGAGGGAAAAACCATGCAAACTTGAAAACTTGTGAACAGAATGGAGATGTGTAAATTTTTCTTATTTTGCCTAAATATCTTTTTTTTTCTTTTTTTTTTAGTGCTGCCCTTCAGAGGTTAAAGAAGAAAAGATGGAGCTCAAAAAATCATACAGTCACTTTTGGAAAAGGTTCAAATATGCAGAAGATGCTGGAAAACCAAAGAATGTGCAGGAGCCGGGGATTTTTCTGAAGAACAGCAGGCAGTTGAACTGCTCGGGACCAACACAGGACTCATGAACAACTATCACTAAACATCTCTCTCTCTGTCTATCTGTCTCTCTGTCTGTCTGTCTATCTATCTATGTCTATCTTTCTTTCTGTCTATCTATCTGTCTGTTTATCTATCTATCTCTGTCTTGTCTGTCTGTCTATTTATCTATTTGTCTCTGTCTTTCTGGCAAATTACATTTAATGCATAGATGTTTAGCAATTATTTTAAAGCAGCATTATAAAGCAGTTATGTTTGTTGAGCAGTAATTACAGTGAAGGTGTTCATTTCATATTGTGTTGCATTTTCTGTTCACTAAAGACTATAATTCAAATGAATGAGGTGAGGTTGAGGTTGTAAAATGTTAACAGCTGCTGACAAATGGATCTATCTATCTGTCTGTCTCTGTCTGTTTGTCAATCTATCTGTCTGTCTCTCTATCTGTCTCTGTCTGTCTATCTCTCTGTCTGTCTATCTATCTATCTGTCTGTTTATCTATCTATTTGTCTATGTCTGTCTATCTGTCTGTCTGTTTGTTTGTCTATCTGTCTGTCTGTCTATCTGTCTCTGTCTGTCTGTATATCTATCAGTCTCTGTCGGTCTATCTATCTATCTATCTATCTATCTATCTATCTATCTATCTATCTATCTATATATCTATCTATCTATCGATATGTCTGTCTGTCTAGCTATCTATCTGTATCTCTCTATATACAGTGGGTACGGAAAGTATTCAGACCCCCTTAAATTTTTCACTCTTTGTTATATTGCAGTCATT